ATCCTCCACTGCTTGCTCCTCACCTTGACTTGGAATATTTCACACAGCCTTTCTCATTCCAAATATAATAGCAACATGGTCACTAAAGCAAACAGAATATGAACACCAAGTGTGATGCATGACCCTCATTCCATCATGCTGTTTTATGTAGCTGAGGTCATAATTCAATGTTATTTTAACTATTCACTTCATGTAACAAGACTTAACAAACATTTTTTCCATTTCCATATCACTCTCTGGTGATTTGCTTGTGTGAGGACCTTCAGTGATCCAGAGAAAAATAAAATTTTTCTTTTGATTCAATTATAATAGCACTTCAGTATCATCTAATAAGCATTCTGTGTTACTTTGGATAAAATACCAACACTAGATTAAGAAGCAATGATTCTCTTAGGGGAGATGCTTGTATTAAAGAAAGCTGGGAGAGAGTGGTTGGAAATGGATTTGAAGCTACAAAACGGGGCTGTTAGTCTAATATCTTAAATAGGAGAAAGAAATGTGTTCTACTGCAATAGACATGAGTTTGCTATCCATCTGAGGAATCTAGACATCCCCCAAATGGATCTGCCTTAGTGTATCCCTCCTCATTAATTCGTGGGCAGATGGTGGTACACTTCAAACTACTGGAGTACCAGCCCTTGGTCATCCATGGAACCCATACCGGGGTGTCTTCAAAGGATATTTTCATGAACAGTGAGCTGGTCTTCTTAAATAGGAGATTGAAAGCTATGAAAATATTTTGTCTATTAAAAAAGTTCATTCAATAAAAAATTTGAACCTGAAAATGTGCATAACCACATTTTTACACTGTAGTAAAAGAGGTCCTTGGGAGAGGGTGTGTGTGCAAGCAATTGATGTAGACTGTTGAACATAGCCATTACTTATTCTAGCTCCAAGTTTCTACCATGATGATAGTATTGCCTCTTCTTACCACCATTCCAGTGCTGTTCTGTTGTTCACTAGTTGCCATCTCCACACAATCATCTATCACAAGATTCCTAACGGGATCAAATGTCTGAAGGATCTCTTGGCCATGCCTGCCATCATTTAATTTCAATGATAATTTCTTGTCCATACATTTTTTCAACTCAGGCAGATTAGCTTTGCTCATTGTGCCTTCTCTGAAGGGTCATCGCTGCCTAGAAACAGAATTAGCAGCTTCCCTCGTGCTCCCACTGTCATCCTAAAATCTATTTCACATATTTCTGTGTATAAAGCTGGTGCAAATAATCGTTGGTCCAAACACCCTCTGCCTTCAGAACATCACCAAGATGAGTCTTTGGCATTAGCCTAACCAATTATGTAAAAGCCAGAGTATGCAATTTGGCATATTGAAAGAAATTAACAAGGCTAGAAGAGGGATTGTTTTTAATGTAAGACTAAAGTGGAGTTTGAAGGCTTTATTCTATTAATCTCTACTTTTGTCTTTACATTTTGAAACTTGGCACATATTTTGCTCTCTTTGTTTCCCTCTGCAAATTTATTTCAGACATCCCCATTTTTTTCTACACATTTTCTCTACTTTGGGGTGGCATTTATCTCCAGCTGAGTTGCTGCTTGTGTTCAAGTACAATTTTAGTTCTTCGCTGCAAGTACTTCTCTGAGCCTGGAAAATCTGTACCATGTGTCCACAGTGGTAAGAGTCTATTGTTAAGCCATCCTATGCTGCAAAGCAAAACTACTGGGCTGAAAGGCATTGCACATTGCATTTTTAAAATAGAGATTATTTACTGCTTTTATTAGGGGTTTTATAGCTGAAATGACTTTCTGAACTTGGAGAAAGGGAACCTAAATTTAGCCGAGATCTCTGGCTATAAAAGTCATACCAATTTGTCTTTGGTCCAGACTTCCTTATTTTGGAAAAAAAAATCATTAAAATGGGTCTTATGCTTATAAATATTTTTAAACCATTTTTGCAT